AGAGCCATCTGGCTCGCTGTTAATGGATCACTGTTAAAATTTGTGCCGCCTCTGTTGTTTTCTTGGCTTTGGAAGATGTAGTCCACGTAATTTTGACTCAGTCAATCAGGCTGAACTAAGTCTGCCTTTTCTAAACCGCTACCGCTTATACGAGTTACCCCATGTTGTGTAATAGTGCGTTTTGATGGGTATGGCTGGAGCCGGGGTGCGCTGCCGGCTGTTGTGCGCGGCTGTTCCCGTGTCACCGCCTGTGCGGCCGCGGCACAGCCGGCAGGATCGCTGGGCAGACACACACAGGTGCCGGGAGAGCGCGTTTTAAGGGGGAAATGGCCTGTTGGTCACTGACGCTGCTTGGTATCAACTGTCTTTTCATGGCATATTTTTTCTGATAGCAAAGGTGTCTCCATAATGGTAGACAATGCCCTGGGCATCAGGATAAATACACTTCTTTTTATGTATTCACAACCTTTCATTGAAAGAACTTCTCAGTCTAACAGAAGGACAATTTTATTAAACTCAAGGGACTAGTATTTCAAAGAGCTGTTAATCTTGGTAACTTCTCAATATGAAACTATAAATATTGTGATGGCTTCAAGAAGTTCTAAAACTCTCATGCATAGTCCTTTAAAAACAGGTGAGAAATTAAAAACCTTGTCTGCCTCTTAAAAGAGACAAAGCCGTGTAATGACCTCTGTTTGATGTGAAAGATCTGAATCTCTAAAACACGTGTGAGGACAGCAGAGCTGTGCTTAATTGAAGCACAATGCTTATTTTCACAGCAGAAGGTGGAGCAGTAAACCCCAGGAATTGGGTTGTTAAGTGGACACCTCAGTGGCTGCAGCTCAGGAAATTGTCACCATTTGCAATCACTGCACTTAGTGCACGGAGACGCTGGGAGTAGTTACACCCCAGACAGGCTGTTGCGTCCAATTATGGGCTTTTGGCATTTCCTTAATAATTGTTAATTATGAGCTAACACTGGAACTAAATTTTCTTCTTGTTTCAGTGCCCAAAATTATAAAACAAATTTAGTCTGTGTTTTTATGCAGGAAAATTCTTCAGTGTGATCATTTTTTGTGTCTCAGAACAGATTACTACTTGTTTCTAATGTACTGAAAAATGTAGTTGCTTACAGCTGTAAACAGATGAGCTTTTCAGTTCCTGCTTTTCAGTGGCAAGTAATGAGAGAAGATTTCTTCCTAAGGAAAACAGAACAGGCACTTTGTCCAGCAGTAAATGTAATTATATTTAAATTATTCTTTAACTATGTAATAAGTGGTTTTTGCACATCATAAAGTTAATGTTTTCAATCTCTTTGACTATTAGTGATACATGGCTGTAAAAGATAGGGGAGCTGTTCCAGCCCAGCTCAGGCCAGAGTACATCTAGGACATGGCCATGCTGTGTTTATTGAAGTTTGATAGTCAGGTATGGGTTCTCGTGTGCATTAACTTGGAGCAATGCAGTTTACTGCATGGCATCATTGTGGCAGGGGCTAGAAGCAAAAAGAATACCCATCGTTTAACCTGAGCAGCAGAATGGAGAGGACAGGTGAGTTAAGGACATCAGCACGACTGAATGGCAGCCTGATAGCCCAGGAGATGGAGAAGGGTCGAGGAGATGGGGAAGACGTGGGCCAGGGCAGCGAGGATGGGCAGCCTCCCCTGCCGCCTTAGAGGTGTCCTGCAGGTCTTACCTTCCTGAGCCCTGTGCCTTGATGCTGCCTTCACATTTCTGCTTGAAGAGGAGACTGTAGAGTGGTGGAAAAAACATTTACATTTGTTTCTGTGCAGCCTTTGCAGAGGGAGGATCCTGTGAGTATGGCCTTGGCCTTTTCCTTCCCTAGAAACATAGAGAACAGGACCACAGAATGTCCTCGGGAAGATAATGAGAATATCTGAAACTAGAGTCTATGATTAGGGCAATTTCAGCGCAAACAGTAGGAAATAAGCTGTAAGGCCAGGAAAATAGGTACGTCTCTTTAGCTTATTTCTAATGTTGTGTCATTGCAAAAACTATTCATCTTCTGATGTCAGAGTGATTCTTCCGATTTCATTATAAATTAGAGATGGAATAGGACCAATGTTTTTATTAATTCCTTTTTTATCAATGATGTTGTGACACTTTTTATTTTGCTGTTATCAGATTTATTACTATTTTTGAGATTTTGTATAGTATTTTAACCTCCGTTTTAGCTTTTATCTGTTCTTTGGTACGCTCTCCCTTGGGTTAGGTGTTCCGCAGATTGCAGTTGTCATCAGCTCTTTTCAAGAGCGTGGCTTGAATTATAGCTGGGAGTTAGACCATATTTTAAAACTTCTTTCTTTTTCAAAATGCCAGTCTGTTTTTTTCCTTTAGAAGGAAGGTTTTGGGAACCATATCTTGAATGCATTGAAATAACTGAGAATTAGAAAACCAGGGAATGATTGTGCTAAGTTTTTATGTTTTCTTTTTACAAAATTGCCATAGTTTTACCATTTCTTCACAGATCAAACAGACAAAAAGCAGCTCTTTTGATGACCTACGAGGAACATGGCAACAGAAACTTTGGGAATTAATTCTAAAGAAATTCCTAAAAAGGGCAGCCAGTTGTTTGGATTTAAGCTGCCGCATGTAGCTCTTGTCCCTGCTGGCCGCTCCGGCCCCTTCTCCCGCTGAGCTCCGGCGCTTCCCGGCCGGGCTCCAGTGCTCCCGTTCCCGCGGCTTCCCGGCCGCCGGCAGGACAGGCCGGTGGCTGCGCTGCCCTAGGGGAGCACTCGCCCGCAAGGGGGTAGAGCAGGAACAGCGCAAAGCACGAGCAGCAGCAGCAGCAGTTGGCACTTTGTGCTTATCATATGCAAAACTGGCCTTTATGGGTTATTAATTTAAGTCATTTGTCCTAGGGCAAGGCTGTATTTACAGGCCTTAACATAAAGACTGAGTGTTGCAGCTTGGGGTTTAAAAATGTCACTGCACATAGCAGTGCAGAAGTGAACTCTGTTTGTCACATCCAACCCAACACTTCCAAAGTATTTTTTTGCACTGCCTTCTGACACGATTTTTCCTTCTTATTGCCCTCCACCCAACCACTATTTGAACTCAAAAATTAAAAATAGCCAAATAAAAATGTTCATTATAGTCATCGGAACAGCTCGCTAATCGTGTGCCTGGCAGGGCTTCCAGGGGCTGCTCCCCGCGCCGGGCCGGGGCTCCCTTCCCCTCGCCGCCCTCAGGCGGTGGCAGCTTGTCCTGCGCCGGGGCTGGTGGCAGCCGCGCTCGGCCCCTCCTGTGCCGGAACAGCCCTCGGCGCCGCCGGGGGCTTCTCGGCCTCTCCAGTTTAGGCCTTTGCAAAGCAGAGGGCAAGTCAAAATATCCGAGAAGAGCCTCTACTTAGTGTAATTTCCAAGGCTGCTTGGACGGAGACCTTGTTTTCCGCTTTGAGCAGGCTGTTTTCTGTAGTGTGACATTGAATCTGCCTCTCTGTTGCCATAGGAATATTATTGCATTAAATGAGAGAACCAGTGCCCTGCTGTTGACACATCCAAGCTAAGTGGTTGTCTCTGGAGCTTGCAGCTTCCTGCTGGGAAGGGCTGTACATAATTCTGCACATTATTTCTGCAACTCACACACAAAAGTCTTTCTGCACTAGAACTGTTAGCTAAATTTCCCAAAGTGAAAGCATGTACATTTGCAGTGCTGTACTGTGTTCACATGTAGCTTAATAAATCCTCCCCGTTGCCATCTTCCCGTCCCCTGGAGATACATTTTCAGTTTGAAGTTTCTAGCTCTGTACTGAGGAGGATGAGGCACAGCAGGGTAGAGGGATCCTCGCTCGGGCTCCTGCCCCCCTGGATAACAGTGCAGATGTGATTTAGTTAGCTTTTTACTTTTAGTTTTTTAAATGTATTTTTTTTAAAGCAGCTCATATTGAAACAATGTATGTTCTCCCTGCTCAAGGACCGGCTTTGGTTTCGTGTGGGAAACTCTTTTTTTTCCCTGTGGGTAACATGAGATGTTATTTGCCTTGTCTTTTTCCAGTGGTAATAATGGTATTTTCCAAGGCTGGGAGGATGCCCTGAACCGCCCAGACTCCCGGTATCTAATACACACTCCCAAGTGATCCCTGCTCACCGGCTTTCGCACAGGCACCTCAATACGTGCCCAGAATTTGCCCGTGTTATATATGGTTCTGTGGGGCAGAATATACTTTATTTTGTAACTGAGCAATTTATTCATGGCTAATAAGCACCCATTAGGTGCTGCCTCTGTGCCAGTCCTTAATAAAACTTGAAAAAATCTCTTTATCATCATCTTCTTTTTAATCAAATTTTGGTGACTGTAAATTAATCTAGTGACTAATTACACCTCCCTAGAAAAAGAAATACATACTTCTGCCCAGCACAAAGCTATGTGTTTATATTATAGAACTGAGATGGGGGGATTGTCAAAGTACACAATTACCCATCTCTGAAAATAATGCCATATTCATTACTAAAACAGACTTATCGTACAGACAAGTTGCCACAAGACACTAATTACTTTTTTTGCTGTTAAAGTAGTTCTGGTAATGAAAAAAAAATCCTTAATTTCTTTGCGCAGACATAAAATACAAAGCAGATGTTTCCATTGTTTGTTACCCTTGGGTAAAGCTGAATTACACCAGCCAGTGAGTCTGCTTTTTTTTTTCAGTAGATCATCAGTCTGTAGTTGAAAAATACAACCTGCTGTTGTACCTGCTACAGCGTCTGGGGCAAGTCCTGCCTGTTCCAGTGGTGTCGCGGGCGGCTGCGCCGCACGAGGCGTTGGTGGACGCTGCTGGGAGCAGCTGGACTGGAAAGGGAAAGAACAGGAGGAAATTCATATTTTGTTAATTGTACATTTGTTCATATTCCTGCATCTTACCGTGTTCAAAAAGCTAATGCTTAATATTCTGTCACTCTACTGGTATTGCCATAAACAAAAGCAAGCAATGGGGGTAGGAAAAAAGAGCATAAAAACTCAAATATATTAATCTTTCATAGGAACTCAGTGGAGAAAGAACCAAGAACAAGATTTGAAGAAAGTTCTGCAGAACACGGACCAGGACATCCCACTCGTGTTTGTCAGCGGCAATCATGACATTGGCAATACTCCAACCAGAGAAACGATAGAAGATTATTGCAAGAACTGGGGAGATGATTATTTCAGCTTTTGGGTCGGAGGTGTTTTGTTTCTCGTGCTAAATTCTCAGTTATATTTTGATTCTTCTAAATGCCCCGACTTACGGCAAGCCCAAGACATGTGGCTTAATGGTCAGCTGGCTGCAGCGGAAAAACATAAGTGCCACCATGTGATAGTGTTTCAGCACATCCCTCTGTTTCTGCGGACACCTGAGGAAGAAAATGACTACTTCAACTTGGAAAAAGCAGTTCGTCAAGAGATAATGGAGAAGTTTCACAAAGCAGGTACTTTCTTCTATTTCTCTATCCTAGAATTCCTGTTGCAGTTTAATTGTTAATGGTTACACTGCCAAACAAAATACATTAAATTTGAATGGTGCCATTTTCGAGCAGTTTTAGGTATTGCTTATAAGCCTCATGGTTCCCCCAGGTCAAAATTTTCGACTGAGTCTCATCACCTTTCAAAAGGACCAAAAGAACAACTTGGAGCTTAAAATGAAAAACTGGAAGTGAGAAACTCCATAAAATAAGTAGGAAGGAATCCATTTTACAAGCATTCATAGATACAAGACCATCTGATCTTTTCCTGCTTAAGCACTGGAAGATCAGATATTGCTATAGAGAAAAAACAAAAAAAGGGAATTTGTGTTTAACGTAAACAGAGAAACAGAATTCAGAATTCAGAGTGTAATACAGACCGGATTTATTCCATGTCAAAAAGGGTTTTGCTCTCCTAAGATCCATCCTTGGTCCGTCCATCCGCGCAGGGCTGCGTGCGGGACGCAGGGCGGCCGAGCCAGGCAGGGCTCTTCCCATCGCCCCTCCCAACTGCTCTCATTTTCCTGGCGTGTCCCGGCCCCGCAAAATCTCCTGCCCCACAGTACCAGCTTTCTGCCTCTGAAAAAACACGTGTTGTTTGGATTACTGAACAATGGAAATTGCTTCTGGTATTGTTCCTAATTTCCCATATAATTGTTATGCCTGGTCTCATCCCAAACCAGCCTCATTTCCAAACTCTGGCTTTCCTCCTGTTTCCAGTAAGGAGGGCCAAAATTCAGTTTTCTGGGAGCTTTCCAGAAGACTGACATATTTGCACATTCAAGATTTACAGGTTTTTTTGCCCATGAGGAGACATGCAGAGAAGACTTCATGGTGTCTTAATAGCAGATAGAAAGGTGTCATTTTGGGACTCTAAGAGAATTTTGATTAGGAATTCTGGCTTTATTGTAACAGAAGGAACATTTTATATTTCAAGAAAAAACAGTAGGATTGTCTGCTTGTAAATGGAAGAAAGTAGCATTTCAAACAAAAAGGAGGGATCCAAAGATAACATAATTTGAAATATATATGTGTATAAGCTAGTCACATCATTACTACATCTTAAATCAATGAGTACCCCTTTCCCTTGCCTCACTGTATACATTTAATCTGTTCTTACTGTAAGAGCTTTTCTTTCTTCTTCTTTTTTTTTTTTTTGAGTGCTCAAGGCAGTGACTTCTAGGATGATTACTCCCAATTTTTGCACAATTAATCTTTTCTTTTTCCTTTGAAAAGATTTGCTTGACAGGTAAAGGCCCCAAATTTAATATATCTGATGTAAAATACTGTGTTTTCATTTTTAAACTTCTCCTAAGGAAAATATACCTACCTGTTTATGATCTTTTTTTTATTTTTTAGATTTTAGTGCTAATATAGTCGGAAATATTTCTCTCTAACGTCATACTTATATTGTTGACTGAAAATCCATCCAATAACTAAGCATTAATCACAGAATGGCTGAGGCTGGCAGGGACCTCTGGAGATCACCCAGTCCCACCCCCTGCTCCAGCAGGGACACCCAGAGCAGGGGCACAGGGCGGCATCCAGGCGGGTTTGAAGATCTCCAGAGAAGGAGCCTCCACAGCCTCTCTGGGCAGCCTGTGCCAGGGCTCTGGCACCCTCACAGGAAAGAAGTTCTTCCTCACATGGACATGGAGCTGCCTGGGGTTCAGCTTGTACCCGTTACCCCTTGGCCTGTCACTGGCCACCACGGAGAAGAGTTTGGCCCCATCCTCCGTATACTCACCCCTCAGGTGCTTGAACATGTTGATCAAATCTCCTCTCAGCCTTCTCTTCTCCAGGCTCAACA